GTGTTTGTTGTTGTTGTTCTGAATTCGTATTGGACTTTCAACAAGAGAAATATCGGGTATCGTGTTTTATCGGGATATCGTGTTTTAAGTAAATGTGTTGAATGGCATTGTGTGAATACGCTGCTCAAGTTGGCAGACAATGCGGAGCTAGCGCAGAAAACCCAGGCAGCTCTCAATGTATCTCAATCGCAAAATGTGACAAGGACATAACAAGTCACCTGAGGTCTTTTGGTGCTGGGTTTGCGGATTCAACCGTAAAGACTGAGGCAGGACTTCTTCTCGCCAGGGCAGGTATGCATTAACGCAGACCTTTGGAAATGTGAACTTGGCAGGCTTTCTGCACAAGTGTATATATTAGGGGATTGGGTAGGGGGGGTGGGGGACGGAGTTAATGATGTAACGATATACCTAAGCGAAGTAATCATAACCCTAATTTGAAACACTGCAGTGGGATAGCATGTTCTTTAAATCAAGCTTATTTCGGTGTAAAAATACCGTGATAGTTTAACCATCTGAAAATTCCACGCCCAAGCCTCCTGGTGGACCCTGGACGAGCCTAGTGATTCTAATGCTTGGACAGAATATAGATGAATGTACTCTTTGAGTGGGCAATATGCATTATGAGCGTTTGTTTTCTCGTACGTGTTACTGACCTCCATGGCGCGTTTATACTGCCAACGGATTCCACATTGCAAATAAGGCGTCAATATCCATAAGATTTTGGTCGTACCCATGTCAGCAACTTGTTTCCACGTCAACATCTTGCAAAGCGCTCTACAAATACCTACCTTGAAAATTACTAAAAAGTTCATTACTATCGTAATTTTAATTTTTCAGTTAACGGTGTCGTGATTCCAATGGACACAGAGGCGTTCTAACACACACAAGTTTAATACTGCTAAGCTAACAAGTACAAGCAAGAAGGCCACAATGAATGAACTTACAAACTCTATATATACGAGGGGCCTGGGTACTACTGGGCCTGAAACCGCAGGCTGGAAATAACAACAATATCATGACATCCCCCTTTTCTTAAGGATGATAAACTGACAAATGCAAAACAAAAGAAAATGTTCAAAGATAAAACACATTGCATGCTTATAAGTTCAGTCTATCAGGAGCTTTGACTCTCCTACTGGAGCGACGAGGCAGCAACATAGGAGAAGGATCTGGAGGGCGAGGCGGCAACACGGGAGATGGATCTGGGGTAGAGCTTGAGCTTGAAGTCACGAACTCTGTTGGCTCTGCCGAAGAGCAGGCACTACCAGCACTTCCGGCTTCATGGGAGATGGGGTCATCAACTTCAACATCAGCGGGTACCTGAACACCTTGGATCTTAAAAGACTCTCCGGTGGTACGAAGTTGACGACGATTTCTTCTCAGTGTGCCACCTCTGCCAGCCGTCACCAGGTAGGAACGTGGGGTGGCAGCCACGTCCCGGACAATGCCTGGCTCCCAGGTTCTAGAAGCTGGGTTGAGCACGCGAACACGATCTTCAGGGAAGAGGGGTTGAAGTGGCTGTCGGGCTGCCTTGTCGTATTGCACCTTCTGCTTATCCTGCCTGAGTTGGAGCCTTACATTGATGTCGCCATTTGCAGATGACGAGGGCTTGGAGACAGCTGGTAGGTTTGTCTGATATACTCGGCCATTCAGCATTTCAGCAGGTGAAGGCAAATCACAACTTAGTGGGGTGCTACGAAGACAAAGCATGGCCAAATGGGGATCCTGCCCAGTTTCCTTGCACTTCTGCAAAAGATCTTTTACAGTTTGCACAGTCCTCTCGCTCATGCCATTAGACTGCGGATACAGTGGGCTGGATGTAACATGAGTGAATCCGTAATTGTGACTGAACTCCTGAAAGGCAGCAGATGCATATTGGGGGCCGTTGTCGGTTACAAGCTTGCTGGGAATTCCATGTTCCTCAAACACAGATTTCAGGTGTGCAATGACTGTAGACGAGTGGAGGTTGGAAAGTTTCTTTATCACAGGGAACTTGCTGTAGTAATCGACAACTACCAGGTAGTTAGCATTATTCCAGAAGAATATGTCAGAGCCTAAAGTATGCCACGGCTTCTGCGGCACATCACGAGGCAGCAGGGGTTCCTTGACGTTCAATTTCTGGTGACGCTGACACGGGGGGCAGCTCTTAACCAGCTCTTCAATATCACGATTGATGTTTGCCCAGAATACTGACCCCCTCGCCCTAAGCTTGCATTTCTCGGCACCTTGATGGGCATAGTGAAGCTGTTGCAGAACATCAGGCTGTAGTGACTTAGGGATAACAATACGTGTACCCTTCAGTATCAGACCATTGGCCACAGTGAGCTCATCGCGATAGTTCCAGTAGGCATGAAGAAAGGCAGGGCAATCAGATCTCTTTTCAGGCCATCCATGCATTATGATCTCACGCAGAGCTGACAAGGTTGCATCAGTCGCAGTTTCTGCCTGTATGTGGGGCACTCGCATTGGGCTTGCATTAAGATGAAGATTGACCTCATGTACAGATACATCTAGCCCTTGAATATCTTCACCAGAGCAGGAGCTGATTCTTGAAAGAGCGTCAGCGACAGGTATGTCCTTTCCAGGGACATATTTGATTTGTGCATCATACTTCTGTATGTGCAGCATCATCCTAGCGATGCGAGGTGGCGTACTTGACAGATGCTTTCGAAAGATAGCCTCCAGCGGTTTGTGGTCAGATTCCACAACAGGCCGGCCGTAGGCGTAATAATGGAACTTCTCCAAGCCAAAAAGAACAGCCAACATCTCTCTCGATATTTGAATATCGGCTCTCAGTCTCGGTCAGCAATTTGCTAGCAAACTCCACTGGACCATTGGCTTGTAGAAGAACTGCACCTAAACCCCTCTGGGAGGCATCCACTTGAATGGTTACGTGCTGGGTACTGTCAAAGTACTGCAGTGCGGTGGGGGCCACAATGGCTTTCTTGATGCGGTCTACAGCTGACTGATGCTCTGGAATCCAAACAAAGTCACTTGTTTTCTTGGTGAGTGCCCAAAGATTAGCTGCTATGGATGCCAAGTTAGGAATGAAACGGCTTAGGAACTGGACCATTCCAAGGAATGTTTGGAGATCTGCGAGGCTAGTTGAAGGATCCATGGACAGAATGGAATCGATCTTCCGAGGATCAGGCTGCAGAGCTTCAGCACCTACGATATGGCCAAAGAAGGGAATTCGAGTACATCTGAACTTGCACTTGTCCAGGTTAAAACGAAGGCCGGTCTCACGAGCACGCTGAAGAACAGCACGAAGGTTTTCGTCATGGTCACTAGTCACTCTTGTAGCCATACACAACAATGTCATCTGCGATTCCAGTCACACCGGGTAAGTCACCGAAGGTTTCATCTACCTTCCTTTGGAAAATGTCCTGTGCACAGACTAAACCGAAGGGTAATCGCAGAAATCTGTATCTTCCAAATGGCGAATTGAAGGTTGCACATAGCGAACTGGCCTGGTCAAGCTTGATGTTCCAGTAACCACTGCGTGCGTCCAGGATGGAGAAGCACTTTGCACCATTAAGCTTCGGAAGGATATCTTCCAGTGTAGGTGTGAAGTAGTGTGGCCTCTTGATAGCACAGTTAAGATCCTTAGGATCTAGGCAAAGCCGCAACGCACCAGTGCTCTTGCTGACACACACCAAGGAATTGACCCAATCTGTAGGCTCGGTAACTTTTGCCAAAATTCCTTGTTCAACCAGCAAATAAAGTTCCCTTTTCAAAGGCTCTTTGAGGGCTTCTGGAACTCTTCGTGGAGGATGCACAACTGGGGGAACAGCAGGGTCAATGGTAATGTGAAATTCACCCTGAAAGCAGCCAATGCCTTCGAGGCAATCTTTGTACTGCTTGAGCACCTCCTCCTTAGCAACCGGGTCTGGATTGCAAACAGGCTTGGGTGGGGTACTTGGCTTTGAAACCTCCTCACGGGTTGCGATGCTGAAATTCATGGTAATCAAGTTCAAATCTGTACAAGTTGGCAGACCTAATATGGTTGGACCATCTGCATCAACAACATGAAATGGATATGACCTACAGGTACCCCCATGAGCCAGCTTGAGAACACAAGTGCCATGATGATTAACGGCATGTCCTCCATATGCAGTAATGATAGTGCTTGATGGTGACAAGGTAGTGGATGATGAACATGGGAAGAGGCATTTGTAGGTATTCAAAGAAATAACATTTCCCTCAGCACCAGTGTCAACTTTACATAAAAGCGGTTTCTTACAGTGATTGGTATCCACTTCCACCTCAACGAAGGCTTGAGTGTCACTTTTCTTGACCTGATCAACTGATAACATATGAAAGTATAACTGATCTGGTAGCTCAGGGTCACATGGTGTTTCTGGTGGTTGACCACTTTCGAGACTATGAAGATGCTTTTTTCCAGGTTTTCCTTTCGGAGGTTTAGGACGATTTTGACGACCATTTGGCTTCCCCTTTTTGCCAGGCTTGGTTGTACGGCAGACTATCCTCCAATGATTGGCTTTACCGCATGCACCACACTTGGTTCCATACGCTGGGCAGTTTGAACGTTCAGAGATGTCGTGCTCCGAACCACAACAACCACATAAACGAATGATGGGACCACGGGGCTTGACGGGAAGGCTTCCCTCATGCTTCATTGCATCAACATGAGTTGAATTATCGGGTGAAATTTCCTTGATTTGTTTACTTGTTACCTCTTCTGTCCGGGCAATGTCCAGGGCAGAATCAAGTGAGAGAGTGGCGTCCTTGTCTAGGAGCTTGGTTTGCGTACGCTTTGAATTAGATCCGAAGATCAAGGCATCGATTATGTGTTCATTTGCATTTTCAAAACGACATTCTTCCACGAGAATTCGAATTCTTTTGACAAATGAATCGACTGACTCGTCAGGTTCTTGCTTCAGGGTCCTGAGCTTGTATCTTGCGAGTCGAAAGTTGCTGTTGTAATTCCTGAGCTTGTATCTTGCGAGTCGAAAGTTGCTCTTTGGAGAAAGGTAATTCTCAAAGCGCGTCCAGTAGGTGTCAAGTTTCTTCTTGTCCGTGGCGGTTAAAGTCCACATGGAAACTAATTCGATGGCATCGTCACCCGACCAGATAAGGAGATAACTGACCTTTTCTTCCTCTGATTTCTCCTTTAGTGGGCCCGAAAAGTAAAGCTCGCAACGGGCTTTGAACTTTTTAAACGCCTGTGGGGCATCCGGCGAATGCCAGTCCATGCTAGGAATTGGTAAACCCGCAAGTTCCGCCATCTTGTTTACGACGAACACGAAGAAAGATTATTGACGACCAGGTTCTCTTCTTCGCTGGGAAATACGGTGAAGGTCCAATTCAGCAATCGTATCCCACTCCTGACACCATGTCGTGATTCCAATGGACACAGAGGCGTTCTAACACACACAAGTTTAATACTGCTAAGCTAACGAGTACAAGCAAGAAGGCCACGATGAATGAACTTACAAACTCTATATATACGAGGGGCCTGGGTACTACTGGGCCTGAAACCGCAGGCCAGAAATAACAATGATATCATGACAAACGGCTAGTGCTGTTTTTGTTGCTTTTTGGCGCTAGTTTCGCCGTTTAGAGAAAGGAAGAATTACATAAATTTTCAATCGCAAAATTATATTNTGCCTGAGTTGGAGCCTTACATTGATGTCGCCATTTGCAGATGACGAGGGCTTGGAGACAGCTGGTAGGTTTGTCTGATATACTCGGCCATTCAGCATTTCAGCAGGTGAAGGCAAATCACAACTTAGTGGGGTGCTACGAAGACAAAGCATGGCCAAATGGGGATCCTGCCCAGTTTCCTTGCACTTCTGCAAAAGATCTTTTACAGTTTGCACAGTCCTCTCGCTCATGCCATTAGACTGCGGATACAGTGGGCTGGATGTAACATGAGTGAATCCGTAATTGTGACTGAACTCCTGAAAGGCAGCAGATGCATATTGGGGGCCATTGTCGGTTACAAGCTTGCTGGGAATTCCATATTCCTCAAACACAGATTTCAGGTGTGCAATGACTGAAGACGAGTGGAGGTTGGAAAGTTTCTTTAACACAGGGAACTTGCTGTAGTAATCGACAACTACCAGGTAGTTAGCATTATTCCAGAAGAATATGTCAGAGCCTAAAGTATGCCACGGCTTCTGCGGCACATCACGAGGCAGCAGGGGTTCCTTGACGTTCAATTTCTGGTGACGCTGACACGGGGGGCAGCTCTTAACCAGCTCTTCAATATCACGATTGATGTTTGCCCAGAATACTGACCCCCTCGCCCTAAGCTTGCATTTCTCGGCACCTTGATGGGCATAGTGAAGCTGTTGCAGAACATCAGGCTGTAGTGACTTAGGGATAAC